GTTTTGAACAATCCATTCTACTTGTGTGAAAAGTACTGTTCTAACCGTTGAACTTTACGCTGAGCATTGGAAAACCGCTTCCTCATGCTGAAATCGAACCAGGGACCTTCTGTTTACGAGACAGACGCTCTGCCCCTGAGCCAATGAGGCTTATATAACTCTTTACCCTACCACTGGTGAAAGACGTTTTCATCAAGCAACCCTACTTAGGTGAAAAGTGCTGTTTTGGCTGTTGGACCTTGCGCTGAGCATTGCGAAAATGCTGCATCATGCTGGAATCGAACCAGGGACCTTCTGTTTGCAAGACAGACTTCTGTTTGTATTCTTGAGCCAATGAGGCTTCCACAACGGTTTCGCTACAATTGCTTAAAGAAGCTTTGAACAAGCAACTCTACTAATGTGAAGAGTGATGTTCTAAGAGTTGTACTTCGCGCTTAACAAGAAAAGCCGCAGTATCATGCTGGAATCAAACCAGAGACCTATTCTTTATTAGACTGACGCTCTGTCCCTGAGCCTGTGAGGCCTCGTTAACGGTCTTCGCTACCGAAAGATGGTTTGAACAAGCAACTGTTCCTATGTGAACATTGATGTTTTAACAGTTCGACTTCTCTTTGAACAATGCAAAACCGCTGCTCAATGTTGGAAACGATCCAATTACCTTCTGTTTACTAGACAGACGCTGTGCCTCTGAGCCGATGAGGCTTCCATGGCGCTTTTCACTATTATTTCAGAAATAAAGTGGGGGCAAGAAGCTCGTAGGCAATTTGTTTCTGCAATAATTGTGTATTGCATTGGTAGACGCAGAAGAAACTGCCAGGAGGAGCAAAGAAGTGGCTTGGAAAAATGCGTCGGAGCAGCGCGAGTATAATGCTTCGCTTTCAACCTAGAGGTCGCTAAAGCTTCTCCCCACTGTACGAATTCAATGACGGAAATTTTGCATCCACCTCTTTCCTTTCGAAATTTCCCGTCCCAGAACATAAAATCTCAGTTGGAGAAGAATTATCTGGAATTCTTTACTATGAGGTTTGAGTTGCGATAGAAAGCATAAACAGGAGAAGTGCTTCAGAAACTGATAATATCACCGTCGACATCCTTCAAGTTAGGAGCAACGATTTGCACGCATTCGTTACAGCCATATGACGTGCTACCTTCGAAATGAAAAAATCGCAGTCCAGAGGAGAGGTTTGCACTCGGTCATCCAAACCAAGAAATGACCGAAAAATTCTGCTTAAGAGTCGTCGAATATACTTGTTGAGTTCACAGCACAAGCTGTTCACGAAAGTTGTTCTGTCGAGCATATCAAGGACATGGGATGAAGGACGGTCAGTTGAATAGTCAGGATTTTTACAGAGATTCTGCTCTATGGGTCACATCGAAACCTTGTCCACGGTCAGTGAAGCCTGTTGGGGATACCACCAGCCCCTAGTTCTGGTACTAATTTTAAAAACGACCGTCATTTATACTCAGTAGTAAAATAATCAACATGTGTTTAAACTGCTGAGCTTACACAAGGTTGATAGGTTAGACTGATTCCGCTAAGATTAACTAACTAACCGGAAAACTGGAAAGTTATCAAGTTAACTAAAAAAGACTAACTCTAACTTATCAACCGGTGTAGGCTCTACAATTTTAACACTTTGACAGTGTGGAAACGAATGCAATCCTCGTCAGACAAGGAATGGAACCATCCTACATAAATACTCTATCTAACTTATTGAAATTGTACTACGAAAATACATCTTTCATCAACCTTTTACCTCACCCATAAGAAAGGATTTGGACAAGTTGACACCATAAAGAAAACTATCGGTGTGGATCAATCTCTGAGGGACGCCCCATGCATCTGGCTTCATTGAGCAACGTTGGAGGTTATTCAGTGCATATCTGGCTTTTACAATGACTGGCAATAGCTCACCGATGTATCAACCAGTGCTGCTATCCTCATTAGACAAGTCTGGTACCAATTTGCCGATCCCATTGGGATGGAAGACTTCGTGTGCTTGGGACTCAGGGATCGATCCTATCTGTATTGCAGGGAGCATCCGACCACTGCGCTACAAGCGCCGTTGACACACAGGTGACACTACATCGTCAAAAAATGTTTGGTACCGCACTGCAGTGGATAATGAAGTCACTCGACTGGGATGAGAAAGGCATACGTGTTGAGGAAAAATTTCTATCAAATTTTCGTTTCGTTAACGACATTGTCATCTCCTCAGGAAGTACTGACGAAGTAGAGGCAATGATCAGTGAGCTCGACGAAGCGAGAAAATTTGGACTACACATAAACCGGAAAACGCAGGATGCAAAGGCGACCGCGTCAACTTAAATGGTTTTCAGATTGCAGAGATCACCTCGTACTTATACCTTAGGCGTACTCAAAAAAACCACTGACCAAGTAGAGGGCCTAAAAATCCGCCCCACCGTTTCGGTTTAACAGACCTCCCAGTGCCTTGTTATGTAGCAGGGATGTGGGATGATGCTTCAATCACGTCCACAAAACTGCGTACCACTTCGCAAAGCGATTAAACGGTGTCTTCTTAAACCTAACCGATAAAGGCAATATCTAGCCGGAATGCGAAGCTCTGGTCTACGAAATCTATGACATCTTCGAGACCTAGGAAAATACACATCGACGGCGAAACGTAGATGGGCAGGTCAAATAATCAGTGGGACAGACGACAGGTAGACGAAGAGAACTGTAGAGAGAACTCCACGAGAATTCAAGCGTCTCCTAGGACGGCCACATTCATGTTGAACTAACGTGTTCGTAACCAAAGTTAATTGGCTGTACTCGCAGCTGCATCTGTTCTACAGATGATGGTATGAAACTCGCACCCGCCACCATGCTTCAATCAAACCACCCCATGAACGACGATGGCGAGCCAGAGAAGTGAATGGGAAATCTGGTGGGGTGGGGAAAACTCCTAAATTCGGGCCGACCAAGTATCCAACTAAGTAAGCTGTAGCGTAAGTTCACTTCTTTTGAGTTTCCGAGTGCAACTATTGAAATTTTTTTCCTCCGGTGGGCTGATTCTAAGCGGAAGAAGTGCTGCTGTACATTACAGTTGGAACCCAAAGAAACCATCTAGCAACGATGACCTATGGAAAACCCTTTAGGGGAAAAACCAGATTAGAACAGTTAAAGCTTGGGGTTAACTTGTTGGATAGAAATGCAGCTCCGGCATTACGCTTTGCCCTTCGGAAAGGAAGTTTGCTCCTGGTGGATATTTCGCACTTCGCTCTGGTAATAGAATTGAAGCGGTATGTCACTGTAGTATGTGTTTTCAAAAACTTCATTCGCCCGAAAATGCCGAAAAAAGTAATGATAAAAATGAAAAACAAACTCAAAAACAATCTGTAAGGCAGTGAATATTTAGCAACCTTTAAAGTTAAGAGTAAAAAGCATCAGAGGCAGACGATGACACAACCACAAACATTCGAAATCAAATGACAGAATAATACTAGAGAATGTTAATGAACAAACAGCAGTGCAAAGATTTTGTAACAAAAATGGACATATCAGAAAAAAACCAAGGTCTGCCTCGGTGTAGATAAAATAACACAGATTTAGCTTAAGTTCCTGCTTAAAAACCAGAACGAACTCTTCCTCTATTATTTTGCCACTCGTACTGCTGCGAGGGAGAAAGCCACTTCGAGCAACAAACTAACGAATGTGCCCTACCGGTTGTGTTTACCTGCTTGGCTTCCAAGCAAACCTAGACAACAGTGCCTCCGGTCTAGCCAGTCTCTTAGGAAAAGGTGTGACACTAATTTTTCTATGAATTTTCCCATTAAAAAAGATAAAGCCTCCATAACCAAACAAAGAAACCCCAAACCAAGATTTCAATCACTTTGAACACAGCTTTACACACTCACCGCTTTCTATGAGGTCTCCACTAAGTATGTCACGTAGAGACCAACCGCACAGAAATCACGTGGAAGTATAATGTGCCCCTCACATCAGAAAAGCAGTTTTATATACTGCCCTATATCACGCGTGATAATGAGGCATTCTTCCCTGCGGTTCATTTTCGGATTTCTGGAATTAATCCAGAGTGCCTCGAGGGTTTTTCGCGCCTGTGTTCTCTTGGCGTTAATCAATCCCTTAGGGATCGGCCATGCATTCGACTTCATTAAGTGTCGTTGGAGGTGAATGAATGCACATCTGGCCTTTACAATGACTCGCGAAGGCCTACCGATGTATCGAGCCAGTGCTGCTATCCTCCCAGACAAGTCTGGTACCAATTTGCCGACCCCGGAGGGATGAAAGGCTTGGTGGGCTATAGGCGCTGGGATAGATTCCACGTGCGTGTTGCAGGGCCCCTCTGACCACTGCCCCACATGATTTTCCCCATTACATAGCATTATTTCAGGAAGTATGGAGCATAAAAGGAGTTCCAGGTGTTCATTTATGCACAGACCCACCAAGGAAAGCCTAACTCTGATGAAAGCGTTGTTGAACTGAAATAAGCTCGAAAAGTTACTGGCTAGTTACTTGGTACTATTCCGTAAAATATTATTTTCTAGCTTCCTCATCTTGCTATACATCATTTTATAGATTAACGTGAGCAATTCCGTTAGTGTTACGGTTTATTCCGAGGATGGCACTGACATGTTCTCTACCGCATTTTGGTTCAAATCGGTACCGGAAACTCTTATTCGGTGGGTTCGCCATTGGTACCCTTCAATAGAAACACGGAAGCCACCAAACTACCACGATAAGGTTACAAATCAGAATAACGCGAGAAAAGAGGCCCTGAGGGTTACGTTTCCACTTTCTTGGCTTCACTCTGTCGCTTTTTTGGTAAGATGGTGCAATATGTTCCGTTAATTAAGCAGTGAAATATAGGAAAAACACATAAAGCAGCCTTAGAACAAAAATAAGTTGTTTGACTAGCCAATCACAGAAATAGAACCGTTTAACACTTCACCGTGTTATTGAATGGCCGTGCTGGACAGTACTAATCGATATGTCTACGTAAGCTACTATGTGCAATCTACGGAATTGCCTCAGTTGCGGACGTATTTTTGAACATGCGTAGCACTTCAGCATCGTTGTTGCTCCAACCATCTTCCGATACCGTACCGTAGTGTCTTGGAAGCGCTTTAAAATAAGTGTAACAACAGGAGAAGCGTAAGCAGCACACTGAGCACGGTCGTTCTTCGAACCGTGCTCGAGCACTCTCCGCCTGGACATGATTCGCTGCACACCTGGAATATTTTTGTTTGGCTGAAACCGTTTGTATACAGTTTAAAGAAACATGTTATAAATATCAACAAATCCATTCTTTTTTCACATAGGTTATTTAGACCTTGTTATGTTTTTTCTCAGATAGATAGGTAATAAATAGTGCTTTAATACCTCCACGAACAACGAAGATGCTTCGCGTCGAACAGTGCCTGACGAATGGTCTTTTGAGAGTAGGTGTCGCTCCTAAATGTGAAATTCATTTACAAGCATCTGCTACTAAAATTGCCAAGTTTCCCTTCATTAGCGCTAACACACGACTTTTAGAAAAAATGAGAAACTTTTAACACAGTTGGAAAGAAAGAAAGAAGGACAAGAATAGACGACTCCAATTATCTGCCCTGAAAAAGACGAATAGGTCAAAAAGTTAGCGAATAAAGGTTATATAACAACCTCGTGTGAGTTGAGCAATCTAAGCAGATATATTTCTTACAGAGTGTTTTAACTCTCTAACAGTGTTTACTCTCTACTGCCTATTCTCTTTTCATGGCAGGATATTATGTGATATACAACCATAAGGATGCTGACATATAAGCGAAACTGGTAACATCAGGTTCACACGCTCCATTATCCTTGTCAGGAGTTACTTATAAAGCGTTCACATCTATTTTCCTCTCTTGAAATTTTCATGTCCCGAAACGGTAAATATCGTTGAAGTTGTTTCTGTTCGTCGCACCCCAAACTACAGTGAACGTAAAGTTTCTCAAATTACCCCCACTGGAGATATTTAGATCGAGAGCACAGAAGTTCAGATAGAAGTAAATCAGCGCCAGAAGTCACCGCCGCCTGGTAACAACCTAGTTGCAAAACAGTGAATTTTGCTACGGCCTGTAAGATCTATAAATGTGGGAACACGGTAACGACTTGGCTTGGCTTCCTCTGAGGAAAAGTTATTCCGGCAAGAGTGGGAAAATGTTCTGTGAGAGGCCGGCACGATTGTTCTTAAAGACGGAGCAAATCAAGAAAATAGTTAGTAACCACATCGAATTTTGGAAAACTCCTTTCTTTTAACGTAGCTATGCTTTAAGGAATAAAGGGTAAATTTTTCAGGGATGATCAATCCTTGAGGGATGCTCCATGCATTCAACTTCATTAAGTATCGTTGGAGGTGAATGAATGCATATCTCGCCTTTACAATGAATCGTTGTGGCCAACCGACGTATCGAGGTAATGCTGCTATCCTCCTAGGCAAGTCTGGTACCCGAAAGATTTTCAGACCCTGGAGTGATGGAAGGCTAAGTGAGCCTGGGGCGCGGAGATCGATCGCATGTGTATTGCATTGCGCATTCCACCACTGCGCCACACGCGCCCTCCTTTACGGAGTTTGAAAGCATGAATGCTGAACTACAAAGCAAATAGTAATCGATTACCGTGAATTAGACAGTGCTAACCTTTCGACTAATTTTCGAGTTATACAGAGTGCATCCAGTCACGTCCTCCAGTCCACCACACTTTCGTTCGGTCACAACCTTTTCTGAAGATAACTGTGAATCTTTTGTAGAATACAGTCGCAGATTTTTGCACTTCCAGTAATTATATAAAAAGCTATTTAAAGCCTACCTAGCCTCTGTCATGGTTAATGCTTTTTTTCTAGTAAATTTTTATTATTCCGTCCTAATTTACGTTCCTCCCAAAGGTTCACCGCCTCATCGTGACTAGGAGGTGCTCCTAGGTGTCGGGCTGCGATGCACAGCAGGAGGATTCGTCTCTCCGGCAGGGTCTCCCAAGCTGAGAAGGAGTCTGGTGTTTCCATCAGGAAGCCTAGCTAAGAGTGACCCAATAGCAGGATCCACCACCGTCCTGGGATTAATGTCGCATGGTGGTAAATCTCTCTCTGATCCACAAGGGCTGCGACTGCCTGTGATAGTGAAGACCTAGGGTAGACTTTAGTCAGGCTAACCTCGGGACTCTAGTGAACCATAATGGCTTAACCAAGAAATTTCTGAAAAATAGAGATTATGCTGGGCCCGCACAACTAGTGAAAACGGTCCGTTTAAGTATCAAGTGAGTATCAAGTTTAATTTATGTTTAGTCCAGGCTGCTGGATTCAGAAATGAAACAAAAACAATGCAATCACCTTTTATTTACTGCCTATACCATTTTTATAGCAGGGTCTGATGTAAAATATAAAGACAAGGACGCTGGGATATTTTCAAAACTCCGGACCGCAGGTGGGTATCGAATACGCTAGTACTCTTTCTAGGAGTTAACGCGTTCACCATCACAAATGAGAGTCCTTCGTTTCGCGTTTCTCTCAGCAGTGAAAGCAAAACGTATCCCAAGTGGCTCCATGGCTTCAAAACGAAGAAAAAGAGGATTTGAGAGAACCGATATTATCAACGATGACAACATATGAGGGCTTTGAAAACTGGAACAAATCCTTACACATTACTTCGGGTTTTGTGGAAAATCTACATCGGTTTTCAGACAACCGGTGAAGTTCGGCCTAAATGTGATCGTATTTTTATTAACGTGAAATGCAAATGATCACTTTGTTTCTTGGTACTTCTCTATAGAAGATTAATCAGTAGGAAAATTGCTACGTTCATATATAAACATGAAAAACAATAATGAACGACAGGATCTTCGTATGTATTAGTAATCCTCAGAAAACGATCCAACGTCCATTGGAGTTGATTATCACCAATCTAAGGAATCTGGGGAACTACAGAGATTGAACAATTAAAGAGCCGAAAATTGAATGCTTGCTGAAAACCACACTAACAATTGAAGATTGCTATAGTTCCCAAGATGGACTTTCTATTAACCTCAGCATTGGATTATAAATCAGTTCTTCTCTTTTTTACAGCAATCGCGAGGTTGTCATTTACCACACTTTTACTTTACTTTACTTTTACTTTTTTTTACTTTACTTTTACTTTTACTTTACTTTTACTTTTACCACACAAATCCAACACATACAATACAACGGTAGCTGACGTTTCGGCAGTATCGCCTTCTTCAGAGCCCAGAAGGGCGCACTAATGTGTAATTTGCTAGGTCAAGCGCTTCAACAACGCAAACAGAAAGATGAAAATCTGAACAATAATTACACGATCACTGACTCCTCGAAAAAGCCACCGTTTTCTAACTGCCTTCCACCAAGGAAGAGCAACAGCTTAGAGTCGCATATGGTTGATTACTGCACCACCCTACTACATCAAAAATCAGTTCTGAGATGCGGGGCTAGATCACGTGTTATCTCAGGGCATTCAAGATTACTATACTTCAATGCCCGACTTCACCCAAACTCTTCTTTATGCCCTCAACTTAACCCCAACCTGAGGTACGTTCCGAGTCTGTGCTTTACAGTGGTTTTAACGATGCGTTCGTAATCGTACAGAATTTTTGTTGTGCAAAACGGGACATTTGAGGCCCGCAAACCAAAACACATGGCTGAGTAATATTTCTGGGATTCTCTGCTGTGTCTAGGGTACCTCCACATATGGCCATATCGCTTTTGAATCAAATGGCTATTGCAAAATAGACTTTTATAGGAGAAAAATCTTTGCCCTCTCTTTTCGTATAATCTCGGTCGCAACCACTACAAGCTGGGTCGGAACCATTACAAGCAGAGCTCCAAAACATTCCTACGTCGTTCATGCACGTCCGTCAGCTTGTTTATTCCTTCATCGTACCCTATGTTCTATTTGAAATAAATATATCATAATGTTATACTTTTTTATTTTCTGCCTACTATAAATTCGCGGCAGGGTACTAAGCGAAATGCAACCACAACGTTGCTGAGATATCTGCAAAACTCTGGACCGCAGGTGTACTATGGTGGGGAACGGACGCGCTATTGTCCTTTCCGGGGAGTAACGCGTTCACCACCACACCATGCGGGTCCTTCGTTTCGCTTGTCTCTCAGCTATTTCTACCGATCTTTGCCGCAGCAATCACCCGTCAGTGGGATTGATAAAATAAAAAGGTATAACATTGTGATTTCAACTACAGCCGCAGCTTAACTGGGTTCTATGCCGATTTGGGCGCCCCAGATCAATCCCGGTGAAGGGTGATTGCTGCGGCAAAGATCGGTAGAAATAGCTGAGAGACAAGCGAAACGAAGGACCCGCATGGTGTGGTGGTGAACGCGTTACTCCCCGGAAAGGACAATAGCGCGTTCGCTCCCCACCATAGACACCTGCTGTCCAGAGTTTTGCAAATATCTCAGCAACGTTGTGGTTAAATATATCATAAACAAGTCGTGTTTCACTGTAACCACAGTAAACAACGTCATTGAGAATCACTTCTTAAACCACATTTCGCTGTATCGAGTACCCCATTTTTTAAAAAGCATTCAATTAACTCTCTTTTTTAGAATTTTGATGGTTGTGATACAACAGATATTAGTTTGTTAAACTTTCTGAAATACCTTTTAATTAGTCAAGTTTTGGGCTTGAATTTTCTTTAAATGCCGAATTCTGCGAGGTACAGCAGGGTGTTTATCCCTCAGCAAAGTTATCGACACTGAGAACGAGTTTACCATTTGTTTCTTGAAACCCATCAAACACGTCGCAGAACTGAGCTCGGAGAGCTAACCGTAGCCACCTACTCACAACAGCGGAAAAACTGAAGAAGTTCCACTTCAGACATTTGGAAAAGAGCATCAGACCAACTGCTCCTCGAGTGAACGGAGTACACTGAGCAACTTTGACATAGAAAAGTGAGGAATGGACAATTTACGGATACAAACTAGAATTATTCTGCAACTAACTGGATATGTAATTGATATGGGTGGTCATGATTTAAGAATTCAGATTATCATATGGTGCAACTACATCACTGAATTATGCGCCGTTATGTCAATAGATACGAAGGGCGTTAGTTCTTCCATAATTGGTCCACTATTTTCAGTTTTTTTCTGTTGGTGAAAGACCACCCAGAAATTATTCACCAAGATCTGCGGTAGAAACAAAATGGAAAAGAGGAACTCTTACCGCTCACGGATATTATTCGAATTCTTCGCTATTATTTGGAATCGGTTTCCATGCACATGTTTTCCGTCTCGTAAATGCGGTCCCTATATGAAGCGCTGCCAACTCCAGAGAATTAGTTGTTGAAGTATCGAATATATCGGATTAAGTGGTTAATTTTAAATGTTTTAAACAATGGATTTTAGAGCTATGATCTCTATATAAACAAATAGACAATTCCTATAACTTTTAATGAACTTAATAAATTATCATGGTGGACACAGTAGAAGGCCAACCAACCGAGCGCTAATTTTCTAGAAAGATCCCTGAATGAGATGTTTTACGATGTTCGACAATGCTGTTCGCCTACGAGAATGCGGAACCCACTAATGATGGATAGGTCGCCCGAGGAATAGAAATACATGGAGATTTTGACGACTTCGGTTCCAAGCAGTCAGGTGGAGGAAAACTGACACAATTGATTATAGCAAAAGGTAACAACAAAACAACGCAAATAGGGCTTAATTTACAAAAATCTAACAAAACATTCCCACAATAATATCGCCCTCGCGAAAATCCTAATGAAAACCCTCATACTTACTTGATCCTTGAATGACCCCGTCCTCACTAAATGTGCAGGCCCCAGCATAATCACCATTTTTCGGAGATTTGCTGGTTAAGCCTTTGTGGCTTCCCGGAATTCCGAGCACGGCCTGGCCAAGTCTCCCCAGGTCGTCACGATGACAGGCAATCGCAGTCCTTGTGGATTAGAGGGAGATTTGCCACCATGCGACTTTGATCCCAAAGCGTTGGTGGATTCTAGTATTGGTTTTCTCCTAGTAGGATTCCTGATGAAAACGCCGGACTCCTTCTCAGCTTGGAAGACCCTACCAGGGGATGAATCCCTGCTGTACAACGCAACCCGACACCTAGGAACACCTCCTAGCCACGATGAGGCGGTAAACTGTTGAGAGAGAAAGCCGTCATAAGATAGCGGTAATGTTCGAAAATCACGTGCTTTCTAGTGGACATCTATGACCTCTCATCGAAAACCTCGTCTTTTTCTGCTTGTTTCGCTTAAGCCTTTTTGTCTGGCATAATCCAAATATATGGGAACCTGTTTTCCATAATCGGCCATCCGAAGAAAAGCCACACAGACATAACCGATAAAAATTTCCGATTTTTCCTGCGATTCCTTCTTTTTTTTTCGAAGAAGCAGAGTTGAAAATTTACGAATTTTGTAGCATAATTCATCATTATGACGTAAAGAAAAGGTCCACACTCTTTGCAAATACATTACTTTAACGAAAACTAAGTGTTGAAAAATTTAGAAAAAAAAAACCACATTCTCCAAAAATTTTATTGCCTTGGTTGTTCAACTGCTTCATCATTTCGATCGCTAGCCTCTCCATGGTGGCACTCTGGGGAGCCACCGAAATGCATAAGCGGGCTGCTGGGTGATGAGAGATGGAAAGCCGACAGCTGTTGATGAATGTCTTTGGCGACGTGTAACAGCATCTTCCGTCAAAGCGACTAATTGAGAGACTGTGGTGGTGGATATCTGACAGCCGACGGAGAACGGAACCGCCTGGAGATGACTGATTCGTCACGGTATTTCGTGCTTGGCTCTTCAACTATGCAAAATTTAGACTTTATCAAGAAGACGTTAAGACGTTGAGACGTTTAATTATATCCCATGACCGACTTCCTATTAACCTCGGCATTGATCAAGTAATTCTTCGTATCACGCGTGATATAGGGCAGTATATAAGACTGCTATTCTGATGGTAGGGGCACATTATGCTTCCATGTGATTTCTGTGCGGTTGGTCTCTACGTGACATACTTAGTGGAAATCTCATAGAAAGCGATGAGTGCGCAAAGCTGTGTTTAATACGATTGAAATCTTGGTTTAGAGTTTTTTGTTTGGTTATGGAGGCGTCTGGCCGAGTAGATTGCTATCAACTTGGCCTTTCCAGGGTCTGAGGAAGGCAAAATCCGCCGAAACGTCAGCTTATTCGTGAATGAAGAATAATAACACCTCGCGTTTGCTCAACAAAAATACGAAGAATTACTTGTTTAATTATATATTATTTAGAAAGAGGTGGACATGATGTTAGGATCTTATTTCGTTAACAATCGGATGACTTGGACAGGTCCCATTCAAGTTTCTAATTTCATCGCCATTGACCGCAAAGGCTGCTATAGGGCTCCAATCGCTCACGGGACACGAAGAGCACTGCACTTTCGCTACGGTGTCCTTATATTCACTGCCCTTGACGAGACGGCAACCACAGGAAGTTCTATGGAATCTGTCTTGGCATAGGTCTATTCTTAGCTAAATTTGGGAGAGGAGATGTCAAATGTATCTTATGGCGTTTCGTGTTATAGCCCTGTAATAAAGATCAGGAATATGGCTAGAGCGACCGAACTAAGGTTTTCTCCATCGGATTTATTTAGGAGGGAAGTGAAAGAAAAAGTTTTTTCTAATGACACTTCTAGAAGAAAAATCTTGTGTGAATAATATGTAGGAAAGTTACTATACTGGTTTCATTATTAATTGTTATACGAGCTACCTTTGTTCGTAATGGGTCATTCATTTGTTTTATAGAGTTGTGAGCTTCGAAGCCGTCTAAATGATATCGAAGAAACGAACAATAACTAAACAAACTATGTAGATTAAATATAGGCAGATGGTTAATCAATAAACGAAGACAAGTACGAAAATCAAGCAACCTATCAATCATTTCCTTTGTCACATACCTGTACTGCCTCCACTCCGATACCAGCTGACGATGCAGTGAGTGTGCGAGTGATTCCGGCATGGAGTGGACGGCACCAAGCCGTGTTGGCACAGCTCGACGAGACGTTCGTGTTCCTCTTCCGAGTACCACGCAGCATTCTTATCGCATTGCATGCAATGCAAACCGAAAACTAGAAAAACCAATGCCAGATAGAGTATTTCCGAATACAGCCATAAGAAAAACTCAAGGGAACAAAAGCAAAATATCTTTGACCAGTTCTTTCTTCTCTTGATTACGTTGTCTTCTCTTTCGGTTTTGATTAGTTTGAAGGACATTTGAGGAAAATACGAGCTTTATCGGCTTAATTATTTGGTACTTGACACTTGAATGGCCCATCCTCACAGGTTGTGCGGGCCCCAACATAATCTCCATTTTTCGGAGATTTTCTGGCTAAGCTATCATGGTTCACTGGAGTCCCGAGGTCAGCCTGACCAAAGTCTACCCCAGGTCTTCACCACCACAGGCAGTCGCATCCCTTGTGGATCAGAGAGAGATTTACCACCATGCGATTTTGATACCAGAACGGTGGTGGACCCTGCTATTGGTTTACTCTTAGCTAGGATTCCTGAAGGAAACGCAGGACTCATTCTCAGCTTGGAAGACCCTGCCGTGGAGACAAATCCACCGCTGTACATCGTAGTCCGACACCCAAAGATACCTCCCAGCCACGGTGAGACGGTAAACCGTTGGGAGGTCTCGGCAATTAAGCACAACTCAAATTTTTTAATTCTAAAAGTTTTGATCATATAAAAGCTTGTAGCAATATTTGATGCTTTTTGCCTTTTTTCTGCAAAGACTTTCTCTCCTTAGTTCGTTTTTATCCTTCGCTCTTACGAACACTAGTGCTTTTCTTTACCTCAAGCACATAAGTGTTTTCAACAAGAGATGATGATTTTCTTTTAAATTTATTGCTCTCAAAAAGCACATCGGGAAATCTGCAGGGAGTCGACCCTCATACGTCCCAGGATTTTATACTGCTGAAGAAATGAGAAATCAGCGTTTGCATTGGAGTAAACACCAAGCGGCAATAAATGAAATTAGATCGTTAGGATGAATGTCGATGAGTAAATGGGTTTTTTAACACTCTCTTCACCAGCTAATCATTTGCGGAAGAGAACGGATTAGAAAACAATTTCTCTTAGGATGCCCCAAAAGTTACGCATACTTTCAACCATAGAACTTTACAGCATTGACAACGTTTTTTCGTATTGTTTCATACTTAGTTTCACTTGTAACAGTTGCGATTAACTAGTGAATTTAATTCTCACATCTACCTTTCTTGCTATATCTAGATAGAAGGTTCAGTCTAGTCTAGCTGAGAGATAGGAAAAACGAAGAACTCACATGGTGTGGTGGTGAACGCGTTAACCCGCGAAAGGGACAATAGCGCGTTCGTTTTCGACACCTGCGGTCCGGAGTTTTGCAAGTATCTCAGCATAATTTTGGTGGAGTCACACATAATGTAAAAAGTTGTAATAGGCAGTAAATAAAAAAGTTAACATTGTGATTCAGACTACAGCCTCAGCTTATTTGGGTTCGTTGCCAATTTGGGCTCCCCAAATCAATCCCGTTAACGGGTGAATGCCGATGGCACTGATCAATAGAGCTAGCTGAGAGATAGCCGAAACGAAGGACTCGCATGGTGTGGTGGTGAACGCGTTACTCCTCGGAAAGCACAATAGCGCGTTCGTTCCCTACCACAGACATCTGCGGTCCGGAGTTTTGCAAAAATCTCAGCACCATTATGGTTGAAAAACTCCAATCATTGCCGCATTGGCACAGTTAACTTTAGTGATAGAAACCTAACGTTAACGTTAATGAGGGAAATGGGCAGGGCAAGGGAGGATTAGGAACGTCTTAATATCAATGGTAATGAAAAATAGGACTTTCTTTGGACGTTTTCACACAGAAAACTACGTCGCGAAAAAGAACCTATCGCTCGATCTTTCTCTTAGGAGCTTTCAGTTGTTTTAATAATGCATTGGTATGATTGGAATTGTAGTTATCGGTCACCAATTATGATATTTGAGGAATAGTTCCCCTTCGAAACGGAGCATCGTTGGAAAAAATTATATTTTGACGGTAATGTTAACGCACTTTTCCAGTACCAATTCCATTTTTAATTTATCTCTCTGCGGGATAAAACGTTACACCGAAGTGCTATTGTTTTCCAGGTACCCCGGTTGTTTTCAAAATATTCTCCTTTCATTCTTCACTCCAACACCATTCCTTCAAGTTTTTGATTTCTTTGACTTTTAAATCTTCTTTATCACAATCTGGACGTCGCTGATGATCGCTTATGATTTGTTTCTGGTGAAGTCTTGCAACCATTCAAATTCATCTCGCTGTTGGTGAGACGTCACCACGATGGCGTGAGATCTTCACCTTATTTGAGGCACATTCAATACTTTACACCCCACGATTTCGGGGAAATAGGTCAACCATAACCTTTAATTAGCTCATTTTTGGTAAGAGTAACCTCGCTATTAAAAATATTCATTGTATTTCTTGCCCAATGGATAATTTTTAAAGCAAGCTCCGAATTCTTGAGTATTGTAGTCAAAAGTTGTTCATAGAACATTGGAAACATCCCTATCAGAAATTATACTGCTCAACTAGTAATGCCTGACATAAGAATTCCTCCAGCAGAGAAGGAAAAAAACGGAACGGGACCGCATTTCACCGCAGTGCAGCTGTGCTCGTGAAGCCTACTGAAAAAGCGCGACTTGACGATGCAGCTGTGGCGCCACCGGAGTGTTCACCGGGCCATTCGCTCCATTCAGACACCTCTTAAAGCCGTAAAAATTTTACTAATGGTCCATTCGAGAAGGGAAAACTTTGAACAGAAGCCAAAACGCAGCCGTACTCTCAAAATTCCTCGAAAACTAAGAGAATTGTTTAAAAAAACATGGTGAAAAGTCCCACTACTATTGTTGTAACTGTAATCTTTTAAAGTTTACATAGCTTATCTTCACATCTGCTGTGCAGACCCTAAAACTTCTTACATTTGCCTCGTTTATTTGTCCACAACGGTCTTTGAACTTCTAAAGTGGGTTGGGCTACTACCTGAGGATCCTTATCTTTTTTATGGAAGTCTTTGAATGACGGAGGAATTACGGAATTAATTTTTCCTAGAGTCCTGGAACAACCGAGATAAAACGTTTTTGTTTGGTGTTCAAGGAGTAAATTGGGCCCAGACTAGTCAGATACCAATTAGCCGGTCTCAGAGGGATGAGAGGCTTGGTGAGCTAGTGCGGGTTGATCCTGCACCATGCTCGTGGGGAAAGGATTCAACACCATTACAGAACCTACCTACTATAACTGTAGTTTAAAAAGTGCAAAACAGCAATAATAAGGCCTAAAAAGCGTAAAGTTCCCAGACCGATTGGTCTTTTAAGGACACTCTCTGCATATGTCTCCATTCGTAGTAGGGTTTATATGATGAAAATCTGGTTTTTACAATGACTTGCATTGGAGTACCAATTTGTAAGTCGGTACTTTTATTATCCGAGGTAGGTCTGGCAGAAATTCACTGATCTCACATGGAAGGCGTTCCTTTCCTGGGCGCTAATCGGAACCATAGATCATTTGTGAGTCGTGGACATCCCTAACTTCTGCGCTACGTGCGTCTCTTCCTGGGCATAATTATCTATGAATTCTTCTTCAGAAGTATTGTACTTTAAACTGTAAGTGTACTCAAACAGGCTTGAAATTATTTTAAAATGTTTGAAAACCAAATCAGTAATCCTTAAGGATCTCGACGATTGTAATTCTAGTGCTGATTATAATTGCAAATAGATTGATCCCTCTATTTAAAGTTGCTGACTGTTAACGATAATTATGACGCTTAGATGAGCAACTAGATATTAGGAGAAATTAAGTTTAACGGTTTAAACCACCTGCCGATATGGTAACGGAGAGTATCCAGAAGACACCGTCGCCTCTCATTGTGTTCTTCTATCCTTTCAGGATCGCCTTCGATGATTTCGAATCTACACTCTCTCTATAACCAGAAGTCGGCTGGGGTTTCCTTAAATGTTATTATAGTTTGTAAGGGATAAATTAGGGTGCATTTTGCTGCGATATCGACAAAGTGGTGCATGAAATTGTATTATGAAGCTAAGGACAAGAGTATTACTTTATAACTTAAGTGGTTTTAAGCATAAAGTTATCAAGCGCTTATAAGAATGAAAAAAGCACTAAGAAGGTTTTTGTTGTTGCACTACAAACCACAACGTCAATTTGAATATGTGGTGAACGGATCCTCAAAAACGTGCTTTCTTCGACATATTTTTTTTGACGAACTTATGGTCCGAGGACTTTCCTAATCAATTTGATTTCTTGGATAAGAACACGCAATAAGGCAAAGAATTCTACAGATGCATAAACACTTAAACAAAACGACATGGCAGTTATAGTACAGCATCTTAAAAAAAAGCAATTATTATTGCAGAGGGACAAGTTGGTGGTAGTGGGCATGGATATTGTTGCGGGCAAATTGCTGAATAGGCCCGCCTACTTGGTAATGAGCAGCGTTTTTCACGGAGGAACGCCGAACTCTGAATGAATGAAACTGAGAAGGACATAAGCGAGATGAAGATGAGAAGAACGGCATGAAGGAAATGCAATTGTCAAAATATGAAGGGAAGAGAGGAGATAGAGAAAAAGCCGACACACTTACAATGCACATAGAACTAGGATTTATAAGTTTAAAAAAAGCCGGAAAGGCAACAGCTGAGCAACCATCACTCAGTTATTATTAATGAAAGGCGAATGAAAAATGAACTAAGTGGTTATGATAAGATCTGGCTTATGTAGATGTTTTGAACATGACTCAGTATTATAGATATAAAGATTCCAAAACAGCCATCCGAAGTGTTCGTTACAGGGCAACATAATGTTTCGACCACCACCATTTTTAGAGATTTGGAGAAACAAGAAAGGACATTCCTCTATAATCAGCCGGACCGATTCTAACTATGATGATATTTTCCGGAAACCACAACGGCTACTTTAGGGCTTCTTGTGAAAGAAAACCCCAGCAGTAAAATAGCAGTCGGACGGTGACCCTGCTGAGATCAGTACGCCTGCGTAAAGGAAAGCCACTGAAGCA